AAACAAAAAGATTTGCTACGTATACAAATAAGCCTTCTCCTGATACAGAAATTGCATTTCATGAATAAATTAGAAAATAAAAACTAATAAATGACCAACAATACATACTGTATATTTTAAGACTGAAATAATTTTAAAACAAGCTTTAAACCAATATCACAGCTCAACGTTTTCTACAAATGAGTGAGCAGTACAAACTGAGCTGTCTGCTGTTTTTACAATAACTCGGTAGTCAAATTTTAAGTTTTATATGGATTTAATTGTTGTTCCCGTCCTAAAATAACATTTAATAAATTGCAGTAATAACAATTTAGAGGTACTCCTTTCAATTACTGCTGGAGAAAAGTGTCAGTGTTGCAGCTGCAGAGCACACTTCTCACTTTTGAACCGGCATGGCAATGGAGGTGTTGAAATGAGCACACGGAGATCTCATGTTTAAAAAAAACACAAACATACAGACCCAAATACGACACACACACCAATTCAACAAGCCAGAGATATTTGCTATTTTCAGATACAGTCTGTTCTTGATACTAAGCAATGATTAAAGCATGCCACCGAGCACTAAGCACTGCCCTCTGTGGCCTCCCCTGCAAAAAGGAACGTCTGCCAGTTTAATGTCTAGCAGACAAGAACACTGTGAACCACCTGATCTCCCATAAACTGAATGACCTGACAGAGACCCCAGAAGCAGCTGAGGCCTGAAACTGGTCAAAGATATTCTGATGTGGACTTAAAGCTCAGGTCATGTCATTAGTCTGAGCTCACTGCTGCCCAATCAAAATGCTGTGACCTGCTTATTTTTTGCCAACATTGTTGTAAACTTTTACTCCACATTCAAAAGTAAGCGGGTCATATTATAGTTGACAGGTTGAGGGTCAAAAAAGGTAATAAACATCCAACGTTTTGAGAAGGAAGGTTCTACAAGAGGCATTTAGCTCAACTTAATTAGAGTAAAAAATATGAGATCAAGGGGTAAACGGCAAGCAGGGCTATGTTAATCATAATTAATCAGAATTTTTCAGATTATTTGGCTGAAAACTTTAAATTAAAGTCTTGAAACTTAAATAAGTAAACACATTCAAAGCCGGATGAAGTAACCCTACTTTGTTTTTTCCTTTCTTTCATAT